TCACTAAAACAAGCCTTTCTTTCTTCAAATACAAAATATTGGAATAAATAAATATAATGTAAATATGGGATAATATGATGTTTCTGAATGTTTTGACTAGAAGGCATGGGTTTATTATGTAATATCTGCTGTAGGCAAGCAAAATATAGCTCAAAATACTTCTAACAACCTTTCTTCAACCTGAGACGACCTCATTAGTCCAGCGAATAAAGGACCTCACCAGAAGTGGAAGGCCGTCGGTTCAATGTGTATGGTTTTATGCCGCTTTCAGCAATATTCCAGCAATATCACGGCGGGGGGACACCAGAAATGGGCTTCACACATTGTACCCATGAGGGGAATCGAACCCGGGTCTTTGGCGTGACGAGTGAACGCTTTAACCACTAGGCTACCCCACTGCTCCGCCAATGGTTCAAGCCATGGACACTCATATCAAAAGACATTTAAAGATGGTACTTGTTGTCTCCCTGCCTTGCGCTTGGCATTAAGGGGACAAAGAGGGAATGGTTGTCTTGGAGTCAGTCAGCTTTGTCTGAGTTGGGTATGGTGTCTCAATGAAGCAGCACTATGAAGCTGGTTTACTTTCAGACCAGTACAAGTACAAGCACACACCTTGCACGTTGCTTAGCAACACAAAGACCTTGATCCCCATTTCACCTCACCACACCTCTCCCTGAGGTGAAGGTCATTGAGTATAGCAAATCCTTGCTGATATTCATCAGATATTAAATTTTTATCACAAAATCTCAATTCTTTACCAAAAAATATAATTCCAAATTTAAAAAAACATCATTCACTTGTTAGGTCCTAAGATGACAGTTCTTTTTAAAAGCTACACATATCAAAACAAGATCTTGACCTTGAAACAAACGAGTATTCATTGTCTTAAATTAGTTTAACTAAACTCCCTGTAAAGTGATATGTTATGGACATGAAAAATACATAAATACAGTTGGAGGGAAAAACATTTACTAAGTTCAATAAAAATGATGTAAACATGACGTAAACACTCTACTACAGTATTGAGATCTATCAAGAAATCTGAAGAAATTGGCAAGCCAATGACAGAGACAGACAAATGACTCTTCCCGTGACAATGGAGTTGACAGACTATGAAAGTACAGGTTCTACCTTTGCTCAACCAGGCTGGAATTTTGTTGATCTCGATCGTTGGTTGGTTTGGTTGGCACTCAGCAATATTCCAGCTATATTGTGGCAGTCTGTAAATAATCAAGTCTGGACCAGACAATCCAGTGATCAACATCATGAGCATTCATCTACGCAATAGGGATACGATGACGTGTCAACCAAGTCAGTGAACCTGACCACCCAACCCCGTTAGTCACCTCTTACGACAAGCATGGGTTACTGAAGATCAATTCTAACCCGGATCTTCAAGGGTTGTGGCTTGATCGTAGCGCAACCAGTGACTGATATGATTTACGTCCCTTCTATCACCAAGACAATCAGGATCTACTTTGAAATGGGTCTTGCCTCATAAAGTGAATCAGTTTACTTGAGCACCATGATAAATATGTTGAAAAATGTGGAAAATGTTTGATGATTCTCAGTTAACAAACATTATTTTGTAAATCCTGCAATCAGTCCAAAACTGTACGGCAGACTACATACCTGTTCAGTTTGGTTTCTGCTTTCAGTCAGAATATGCATGGACCCATTAGTCCAGCCAAAACTCTAAAATTCCAGCCTCATTTGGCAAGGTGGAAACTATACTAATACAGTCAGTTATCTCCCTTGCCTCGGGACAGGAAGTTATGTACACCTCATCGTGACATGAGCAAATACAATCACATATATCAAAACAAATCTGATGTCTATTTGAGTGAAATCAGTTTAGGTCTGGTTGTTTGTTGAGAGATCAGAAAAGAAGTTCAACACCAATTAAAACCGACCTACCTGCCTTATCTTTGGATGGGTTGCAATTGGAAACACGTGTTTGATGGGGGTAGGACAGAAATGATTGGGAGATGTTGGGTCGGGTGGGGCTAAATGCAGTGATGAAATCACATTACAATCGTGGACGCAAAGAATGAACTTTACATGTCTTTCCTCTGTGAAAATCGAACCAATCACCTCCATTGCAAGCCAAAGTCACACCCACCAGACAACCACACCAAATCCCAAACAGCAAATGGTGGGAGGGAAAATTTCTCCAACAATGACATGTTCGTTTGAAATCACAAAATGGAAATGAAACTCAGAATTTACATACCTTTGTGAATAATGGACAAATAATCATTGTAGAAATATGGAATGTGTTGATAGAAATTTCACAGAAATATCATGGTAAAAACTACTTTGGCAAATATTCTGAATAGGTTCTCAGATCATCTTGAGATGGCTATTATACCGTTAAAGCCTTTCTTTAATTATCAAATGTACAAGTTTATTCATAAATTACTCTCTTTAAGAAGCTCAAATAGGTACATACTTCATGCAGAAAACATGAATTTCAGTGACAAGTGAAAGAGTTACCTCCCTTCCCATAGTTGTAAGTTTTAATGAAGAGGTCATGTGACTAACAGCATGTCATGTGACTATAACAGTGTCATGTGACTGAGACAAAGGCAACACAATTTCAAGGTCAGTAACTAATACTGAAATGAGAGAACTATAAAACTGCCTGAGACTAATACTATTCGGCAAACGTGTTGCGATAACACTACAACTGGAATGAGATTCTTCACTGAGATTCAATAAATGACTAAAAACATTTAAACAGAACACGTGAACTCAGAGTGAGCAGGTTTTAAGTGTTGAGTCTTTGCAAAAAATGAGATTATATTATATCAAAATGCAGTGAAGTGATGAAGTTAAAATATCAAATTTGAAAATGTTGATGTTTTAAAAAAACTGACATGATGAATGAGACACATTATAAATAAAAAGTAACACATAAGGAGCAATTTGAAAGAACTTCCTCAGTTCTTTTTGCAAATTTTGAGTCAGGAGATTCAAGTTTAGATTTAATTTTTTTGCATTACATTACAGTTTTGCTTCTTAATCTATCACATGGGATCTTAAAAAATTAATACATAGGGAAGTCTCTTTGGAATAAATCAATAAATCAGCAAGCAATTTAGTTAATTACTGAAATTGGATACCGTGTATTTACATATTGAATATTTGCAGACATTATTGAATTTCACTGAATATTTGCAGACAAGTCTATTGTCTTAAAAGCTGTTTTGAATTGAAAATACTTTTATCAAAATACACAAGTTAATCACCTCAATATTTTTCATTTTGTCTTCAGCATTTCGGAATTTTGATAAAAAAAAATATAAAATAAATTTGTAGAATTCAATTGTGTCTCAGATTAATTAAAAAAATATCAGTAACTTAAATTTATCTAATTATATGTGGAATTTACAAGGTGGGGAAATAACTTTCAAAGGAAAGAGAATGATACAACATGGAAGTAGTTTGTAGGGAACTTGAAGCACAATAACGGATTGCTATATACAAAGCATATGTATAGGATATACTACACACTCACTGCTAACAGTGTAAATGTGAAAACAATTGGTATTGAAGTAACATTGCACATTGCTTGCTTTATATGGACAAATTACAATTGGGTTCAGTATCTGTATCAAGTATCGGAAGCGTATCACATATTATCAGTATCAAGTATCGGTGTCAAGCATAAATATCACACTAAAGATCAAGTATCGATATCAAGGAAGTTAAACAAGCTTGAAATGATCTGTAAAATATTCCGTCGAACAGTTATATGAAGTGCATTTAATAGAGTTTCAGCATTTCGCTACCATATTTTCTCTAATAAGCACCCTAGCCCTAACTTTTCCATACCAATTTCCAAACCTCACAAGATGGATGTTGAAAGGTAATGAGAAACTGAGGTGTTACCAAAACATATGAAAGCCTCGTGCAGAAGAAGAATCAGTATACTATTACTCCGCTTTTAGCAATACTCCTGCAATGTCACCAGAAATGTTCTTCACACATTGTACCCATGTGTCAGAACTGAACCTGTGTTTGCCGTGTCAAGAGAACACTTAACCCACAAGGCCACCACATGGAACCTCTTACAGGAAGAGAATCATCTCTTGTGATGTGGCCATAAAACGGAACCCATCACTTCTCAGTTCTCGTTTAGAGAGTCACTTATTGGAGGAATATGGTGCTTGTAAACAGAAATGTGTACTGATTTCAAAATGAATTTCAAAATAGTCACCACTCACTAAGTGCACTTACCCTAATGTTCGAATCAAAACATAATGTTAAATAATGTATAAAGGAAGCCTACAAAAGGAACTGGTTGACAACTTCCACTTGAGTTAAAGTTCTCGATGAATCTTAACTTCTGGGAGCTAACGATCAAAGAGAATCATGGGAATGCTCGACATCTTCCAACAAGATTCTGCACCTCTTATAACCAATCCTTCAACTTGCAAAAGCATATGCCAACAAGCTACATGTGTTTTATAATGAGTACACAAATATACTGCTCAATGTTTGAGAGGGATTCTGAAATTTGGAAATGAAGCTGAAAATTCATACCAAGGTTACACACTTTATTATACAATGTCAACTTTCTTAGAACAAAATTTCGAACCAATCCTGTTGGTTGAAATAAAAACAAATTTAAGCAGCTCATTCGGTTAGTTTTGGCAAGATTTGTTTTGAGAAGAAAAATGACAAATCTACCTATAAGTTCTGGACTGGCATTATGAAAACAAATATAGAACTTCATTTCTGAGAAGGAGAAGGAATTGTTCTGGTTTTCAGGTGCTCAAAAATTACTGTCACTTGGAATAAATGCTTTCGTAGTTGTCTGGGTTTTTTATCCATCAATGAATATATACTTTAAATTATTTTTATTCTGTTTTCTATTTTAGATCTTAGTTAAAACAATAAAAAAAGTAAAAATTGATTACTCAATAACATAATTGTAGGACAGCATCTCCAAACAGTTGAAATATCCTTATCAAATTTTGAAGAGGCATATTCCCTTTTGCTGGTAGCTGCCATCTCAATACATGAAACTAACAGGCAAATGGTATTCCTTTCCTTGTCTCCATGAGATAACATTAAATGTGACAAGATCTATCAATACAATCTGTTATGAAGGATGATTTCAGGAGATATCTGAGAGACACTACCTCTAAAGGTCAAGGTCAAAGTGTCAGACATGAGTAGTGAAGGTCACTTACAAAGAACAATCCATCTGCGATACTAAAAAATATTTCTTCATTCCGTAACAGGGAATAATTTATATCAGAGATGCGACTGCACTTTGAACACTGGTGATTCCTAAGCTTATTGGTGGCATTGTCCATGACCCATGACTCCAAGTTACTGTCAAGGTCATTATTATAGCAAGGTCAAGGTCATTCCGTAAAGAAATGTCTTGAGAATACATACATGTATGATTATGACATTAAACTTGTCAAACATTTGTGAGGTTGTCTGACAAATGACCTCTATTTTCTAGGTCAAGGTCATTCAGGACACAGTGTCGTCGTAACCATCTGGAGTTTTAAGATAATCTGGTAGTCGGTCGAACATGATGTGTGTGTAGTGGTCTTGAGCTAACTCGGTGAGAGCTTCAATTATTTGACTGTAGGTCGGACGGTCTTCGGGGTTGCCATGCCAACAAGCTGACATCATGTTGAACCTGTAGAGGAAGCATACAATCCTTGAAAATCTTCTGTTATAATTTCCAGATCTGACTCGAACTATGACTGTTTGACACAAATTTATCTCAGATATGGTCAAAGGGGAGACAACTCTGTTGAGGCCATGTAAAGCAAGACCTTCAAATGCGAGTTTTAAAAGTACTCTATGCTTTGAAAACAGAATATGCAGAACAGTGAGTGAGTTTAGTTTTACGCTGCTTTCAGCAATATTCCTGCAATATCACGGCGGGGGACACCAGAAATGGGCTTTACACATTGTACCCATGTGGGGAATCGAACCCGGGTCTTCGGCGTGACGAGCGAACACCGTAACCACTAGGCTACCCCACCACCCCCTAAATGCAGAACAGAACACCGAAAAGGCTTTTGTTTTACCAATGCTTTTTCATGGATACTACCACTCAGATGCTACTACCACAAGCAAATAGGAACTCCCCAAGCATAATACATACGTTTAGAAACAAATAAAGGAACACAGGAAAATTCAAGCGTTCCTTTATTATTTTCCAGTTATTCAAAGTTGGTGATGAAAACTAGAACATATTAAAGGGACACTTGCATTTCCCTGTGTTCCTCTACAGATACCTACCATGGTGTAACGTTGAATCTACTCAACACATCATAGTGATAACAATTACACTCAAGCCAAAACATCAGGCTAGCTATTCTCGAAATGTTCGTAGCCCTACGAACTTCTTAAGCCCATTCTTAAGACATTGGCTACGATCAAAGTTAAGAATTCTTAGGGCTACGAACGTTTCGAGAATAAGGGCCCTGAATACATCTATTTACATTCTCAGCTTCCTGGAGATTATACAACTTTATATGTAACCTGCTACATGGCACTGTTTTTGCAACTACATGTACATTTCAAAATCATCCTCAACAGGTATCATTCATTGCTGGATTAAAATGAAATTTGTAGTAAGTCAGTTGTATTATGCTAACCCTCCACACTACAGCTGAATCCGAGTGAGTGAGTTTAGCTTTACGCTGCACTCAGCAATATTACAGCTATATGGCGGCGGTCTGTACATAATCGATTAAAGCCACTTTGAACCGTATTTCAGTTATATCACAGCTTGCGTGTTTTGTGTGGGAGGACAAACATCTAGGTTTGTTTGTTTGTTTGTTTGTTGTTTAACGCCGCACTCAGCAATATTCCAGGTATATGGCGGCAGTCAGTAAATAATCACATCTGGACCACACAATCCAGTGATCAACATTATGAGCATCGATCTACGCAGATGGGATACGATGACGTGCGTCAACCCAGTCAGCGAGCCTGACCACCCGGTCCCGTTAGTCGCCTCTTACGACAAGCATGGGTTACTGAAGATCAATTTTAACCCGGATCTTCACGGGTCCCCCTGAATCTGAGCTGGACACTTACAGGTGTGGGCTGCAGTGTTGGGGCTGGGGCATTCTGTAGCCGGACTGCACCCTTTCCAGCACTTCCTGGGGCCCCATTGCTGGGTACGGGGTCATCCCTGAAACATTCAATGAACCCCATAGAGACACAAATATTTTAATTTTATATACCACATGATGATAGGAATGATCAGAAATATCCTTCTGTTCAAATCTGCACTTAAGATATCTTGAAGATCATGTAGCTTGGAAAGATAACTAGAACCTAAAAATGTTTTCAGGTATTGTTTTTGTATGAGAACGTCAGTGTATATTTTGTTGGTTTGTTTGTTGTTTAATGCTGCATCCAGCAATATTCCAGCTTTTTCGTGCTGGTCAGACAGTCCAGTGATCAACAGCTATATGGCGGCGGTCTGTAAATAATCGAGTCTGGAACTGACAATCCAGTGATCAATAGTATGAGCATCGATCTGCGCAATTGGGAACCGAAGATAAATGTCAACCCAGTCAGCAAGCCTTACCACCCGATCCCGTTAGTCGCCTCCTACGACAAGCATGGGTTCCTGAAGATCAATATTCTAACCCGGACCTTCACGGGTGGAGACAAGCATGGGTTACTTAAGATCAATATTCTAACCCCGACCTTCACGGGTAGTCGCCTCTTCAGACAAGCATGGGTTACTGAAGGTTCATTCTAACCCGGACCTTCACGGGTAGTCGCCTCTTACGACAAGCATGGGTTACTGAAGGTTCATTCTAACCCGGACCTTCACGGGTAGTCGCCTCTTACAACAAGCATAGGTTACTGAAAGTTCATTCTAACCCGCACATTCACGGGTAGTCGCCTCTTACGACAAGCATGGGTTGCTGAAGACCAATTCTAACTCAGATTGTCATGGGTAATTCAGGAAGAAAAGATATCTGATCTCTGACTGTATTTGATAAAACAAATTAATTCATCATCAAGTGGCACATCACTTACCAAAATGTAGAATTTCCCACAAAACGACTCCATACGCCCACACATCAGTTTTGACATTGAACACTTTCTCCGACAGACACTCGGGAGCTAGCCATCTCACAGGGGATGATGACTGTAAACACAATGTTTCACAATTATTGTTTCAATCCTCACTCACCAATATTACATCCATATGACATCGATCTGCTAATCAAAGAGTCTGGACCAGACAATCCAGTGATTGATGTCATGAGTATCGGTTCACACGTTCAGGAAGCAAATCTAGGTGACTTGGTTGTAAGCGTGTCATTGTACTCTGATTAATGTGTGAAGTTGCTTACAACATCAATCACTGGATTATCTGCTCTGGATCAATTGTTATCAGATCACTATCACATATAGTCCGTTTGGCTCAAAAGCGGACCGATGAATTGCAATCTAACTCGAAAACTAATAAACATAAAATACTCAATGAAACACTGATCATAATCAAAACATCAGACCAACTCTGTGAGGTTTTTGCAGAATTTATGTCCTAAAAATAAAAAAGTTGTTTAACTAACTATCATTAAAATATTGACACAGTTCACTATTTGTTACGAGGGAGGAGTGCAGAGAAAGGGACAGCCAGGTGTGAGAGAAAGGATGGAGTCGGCACAGCACAGGTTCACGAATCAATAACTTTGTCGGCACCAAGTTGTGCACATGTTTCTCTAAGTTCTGACTGTCCCTTTCTCTGCACTCCTCCCTCGTAACAAATAGTGAAATGTGTCAATATTTTAATGATAGTTTGATAAACAACTTTTTTAATTTTAGGACATATATTCTGCAAACAAATCACAGAGTTTGAGTGATGTTTTGATTATGATCACCGTTTCATTGAGTATTATATGTTTATTAGTTTTCGAGTTAGATTGCAATTCATCGGTCCGCTTTTGAGCCAAACGGACTACACCTGGAATACAGTGCCCAAGCAAACCCAAACAATGTGGAGATGAGTCTCCTCCAGAGACACCTTCATTATTGAGTGAGGTGAGGGGAAAGTGGGTTTAAAGTCGTGCTGGAGAATATTTCACTCATATGACGACGTGCATGCGTGTACACATATGTTTGTACACGTATGCTTGTACTAGCCCAGACTTAAGCTGGTTTGTTAGTGCTAGCCCACTGAGATACCATGCCGCAATGAAGCAGGAATACCCCACTCAGACACATAATGACTCCGAGCCGACCAGTCCTTGTTGTACCGATTAATGCCGAGCGCCAGACAGGGACCAACAAGTACCATATTTTAACGTCTTTTGGTATGACGCGGTCGGGGACCAAACCCACGACCTTCCGCTCTACGGGCGGATGCTCTAACCACTACACCACGGAGGCGGTCATTACTTTGTGAGTGACTTAAGATGCATGCCACTTTTAGCAATACTCCAGTAATTTCGCGGTGTAGGACACCAGAAATGGACTTCACACATTGTACCCATGAGGGAAATCGAACCCAGGCCTTTGTTGTGACGAACAAACACTTTAACCACTAGGCTACACCCATCACCCCACCTTCATAATATCATCACTCAGTTCCTGTTGGATGCTTTCAATTTGAATGAAATCCACGAGCAACGGTATCGTGCTGTCAAACCAAGGATTAAGATCTTGGTATGCCTAAGGGAAGTAACTCAGAGAACACCTGGGAAGACCTGAACATCTATGCACCCTAACTTCTGAAGGATGAGATGGGAGATCACATTACTCCTTTACTGATATGAATTTATGTGTACATATTTGTGTTTCAACGGCATCTCACTTGGTTTATAGCACTCACCAGTTCATATATATTCCTTTCTGCCACCTCTTGCGGAAATCCGAAGCCGGACAGTTTACAGATGCCTCCCTTCCCGACCAACACACGGGCCGTCTTCAGGCGGTAGTAGATCAGCTGTGCACAGAAAACATGGCATCAGATTCTGGTATTATTCTGTTTATTACCGAAGTCATCAAATTGAGGAAAATAAACCCAAATCTACTTTCAAACATAGGCTGGCTACCCGCCGTCGCCGCATGTAGAACGCAATGTCACAGAAGTAACGTGACGTCATAGCCTTGTTCATGACTGTACTGTTGGCAAATGTATAGGTGGCCAAAAGGTAGAGTGTGACATGTTCCACATATCTGAATGTAGATTAGCTTAATGTGACACTAAAGAGTAACTGTATTTGTTGTGAAAATCTTAAAGAGACTACTTTTTCAACAATGGTTAAGTGTTGAGCTAACTTTTGAACAATAACATGCAGTACGAACTTTGCTGGGTCAAGGGCATTTTGAAACATTCAGTATGTATGTCATATTGTTAGATCACGGAAAACCTGTTGACATGCCTCATTCAAAAACATAAACTCAATACATGGCCTAGATTATAGTATTGTTTGATACTCATGTCATACCGGACAAAACGTCGGAAAGACTGAATAGTAAATGAAAATTTTAATTGAATTTTGAAACTTCTGTTGAACAAGCTCATCCAGAAGGACAACGAACTCTGAATCAATGAAGAAAAGACACATCATGTTTTCATCTTGCTTCATGAATTAAACTCATTTGGATAAACTTGTGTTTTCTTCTTGTTGTTTTTTCTTTTCAGTATCAGCTTGTTTTAAATAGTGGAAACTGCATTAAACTTAACCGGGCCAGTGCCGGGCAAACTGTAATGGGCCAATCTGCAACCGTTACGACTATGTACTGGGGCATACTACTTTGCCTGTACGGGCCAGTTCAATGCCAATGTGCAAAATAGTACAGGCCCAGTTTCGGAATGCCTTAAATGGGCCTGATTTTCTGACTTTACTGGCCCAGTTATGTGATGTTAGCTGGGATGCCTACCTTGAACCTCTGCAGGTGGTCCAGGCCGCTGGCTATCTGGGCAGCAAGGGCCAGGAGTTTGTGAGGGTCAAGTGTCTGGTTCTGGAGCCGGACTGCCTGGTTCTCGTTGCTGTGGTTGATGACCACCTCCTGTTGCCCGGGGCGATGTTTCTGGAGGAAGGCCAGTAGGCTCCCCTCCGATGTGTACTCCAACATTACCAGCCATGGCTCTGGGGGAACACACAAACACATCAACACCATGGCAACAACACCATGGCAACAACACCGTGGCAACAACACCGTAGGCCTTTCCACAGATAGCTGTTACTGTTAATACTTTAACGAAAACTTTAATTAGAATGAAAAGAAACAAAAATTGACCTCTCATTTTGGGGGCAATTTATACAATTTCAATCTTGTTGTTTTTCACTTGTGGGAAATGGTTTACTGGCATACTTTTCTCAAAACTTTGATTAGAAATGAAAAGAAACAAAAATTGACCTCTCATTTTGGGGGCAAATAATACAGTTTTAAAGTTGGGATTTTTTCACTTGTGGAAATGACACAAGATTGTTGGGCCTAGTCATAACAAGAGAACATAGGTACACAAGCATATATACTTTTAGTCAAACCATGAGTTCGGTGGACAAAATATTAATAAAACAAGTGTTTGTCACTGATATGACAATGTCCCCCGCCGCTAAAGAATGGAATATCTATATTTACTACTTTTTACTTTTTGGTCACATACAGGATGCCTGAAATGACTGGTGTCTGCATAATCACCCAATGTAGGCTGTCGACATAATTAAAAACATTGGGTGCAATGTTTTATGAGATATCGCATTTAAATAAGTTTGAAAAGTGGTCAAAGTGATGGTGTCCTTGAAGGAGAGGTCAAGGTCACCCAAATTAACTGGTGTCTGCGTAATCCCCCCAATGTATGCTGAAACCAAATTTGAAGACATTGGGTACAACAGTCCATGAGATGTCGCGCGTTAACAAGAGTTTGAAAAGTGGTCAAAATGTCATGGTGACTTTGTAGATAAGGTCAAGGTCACCCAAATCAACTGGTATCTGCGTAATCCCCCAATGTAGGCTGTCACCAAATTTGAAGTTATTGGATACAACAGTGCATGAGATATCACGTTAACAAGAGTTTGAAAAGTGGCCAAAGTGTCGTGGTGACCTTGAAAATAAGATCAAGGTCATCCAAATAAACTGATGTCTGCGTAATCCCCCCAATGTAGGCTTTAACCAAATTTGAAGACATTGGGTACAACAGTTCATGAGATATCACGTTAACAAGAATCGGGACGTACGGACGGACGCTGCTGAATGCATAGTCCCCCATTCAGCATTGCGCCGGTGGACAATAATTTCTTCTTCAGTCCTGTGTGTGATAAACTGATAAGACAGCTTTGATGTCTGCAGAAGAACAAAGCCACACACAGCTTGTTAATTATCTCCCACTTTCAATGTCAGGTGGAGAAGCAATTTGTGATTTATTATTGTTACACTGATTATTCGCTCGGAAATTGTAACATTTCAAAACCAGAATATACTTTTTTTCCCTTATGCTCATTCAAATTTTGACAGATATATAAACCAAATATTGAAAGCCTTTGACAAACATTTTTACTTAGTACACTGACAAAATGTGTATTCAATAAAACTGATTAAAGTGCAAAAACATATTGATGTATATTCTTTAAAAATTGTGCATGATTGATTGCATGTTTCTGACTGACCATTGGTGGTGTAGCTGCCGATGAGGCGGATGATGTTGATTTGGGCGGGTAGCATCTTCATCACCTCCAACTCAGACACAAACAACCGACGCTCATTTTCTGTCGACTCAGCTGAAACAAATATTATACACTGGATGATATAAAAGGAGAGACATTCCAAGAAAGAGGCACCATTATCTAAAGTTATCCAACACAATGAGGTGAGGTGAAATTGGGTTTAATGTCATGCTTGAGAATATTTCCTCATATGACGACGTGCGTGTGTGTGTATGTGTATGTGCGGCTGCTTGTACTAGCCCAGACTGAAGCTGGTTTTATAGTGCTAGCCCACTGAGATACCATGCCGCAGTGAAGCATGAATACCCCACTCAAACACATTATACTGACTCCGAGCCGACCAGTCCTTGTTGTACCCATTAATGCCGAGGGCCAGGCAGGGACCAACAAGTACCATATTTTAACGTCTTTTGGTATGACGCGGTCGGGGATCGAACCCTCGACCTTCCGCTCTCTGGGCGGATGCTCTAACCACTACACCATGGAGTATCCAACACAATGAACCTTTTCATTTATAAATGGTTTTGTTTTGAGACAGCAAATTTTTCACCTTTGCCTCTAAGCATACCAATTCTCTGAAGAGCAAGATGAACGATATCAATGTTTGGGTGGTAAAAGAATTTGCATATTTATCAGACTGTGGAACCAAAAGTGTTTTTGGATTCTAATATTCCAGCAATATTACAGCAGAGGACACCAGACAAAGCTCCACATTGTACACCACCACCCTTATTATATGATAAAACTATTCATTATCCATATGGGGGAACATAAGTCATGTCATATTTTCAATACATGCACATGTGCACATATCTTTTACCTAGCAACCATTTTTTCTGTATTTCGTCGTCTGTGACGTCATTTAACGATTGAACGTGACATCAATGAACAGGGCAGTCAAACTTGCTTACCGTGTTTTACTGCACAAAAGTACATAAATAAAATGGATAATAAAGAAATTATTACACTCGCAAGTGTGCCATAGGACTTGGTTGTGTATAATTCTCTGTGTATGTAATAGTTTAACACATGCTGCATCCCTTTTGGGAAGAGAACAGAATTTCTGTTACACCCAGGCATGTCTAATACTGGAAGAATGATGTTGGTAGACATCGCTTCCATACATTTGTTTGTTGCTTACCTGAACTTCGCACTTGTCAAAAGTCCAGCTCTATGAGTGAGTGAGTGAGCGAGTGAGTTTAGTTTTATGCCTCACTCAGGAACATCGATCTGCGCAATTGGGAACTGATGACATGTGTCAACCAAGTCAGCAAGCCTGACCACCCGATCCTGTTAGTCGCCTCTTATGACAAGCATAGTCTCCTTTTGTGGCAAGCATGGGTTGCTGAAGACCTATTCTACCCCGGATCTTCACGGGTAACCAGCTCTATGAAGGCAGCCTGTGCTTAAGTGAGTCTGGACCAGACAATCCAGTGATTTGTAAGCAGGGAACCACGTCATTGAGGTACGACAACATGCCGTAAAAAAAGTCACTGAATCTAACCACCCAATCCATCTATCAACCAGGATAGGTTGACAGGGACCTGTTCTAACCTGGAATCTCCACAAGGACACTATGAATCAGTGCAAAAGTCAATCTGTGGCAGCTGAAGGAAAAGGGTATTAATCAAAATACAACAATATAAGACCCTGGGTGAATGAGGATGATACTTCACACTTACAGATGAGTTTCTTAATGGCAACTCTCATGATGTCGTTGGTGCCAGGCTGTTTCCTCATCCTCCCCTTCCACACCTCAACGTACGACCCCTTCCCGATCTGCTCCACCAGCCGGATGTCTCGACGTGGAATCTCCCATGACATCCGCAGTTTGGAGTACTCCGATGGCTGGAGGAATGAGTCAGTGTCATAGAAAAGGATAAGAAGATATGGATGGGAGTTGCACGGATGGGCAGGTGTTAGAAGGATGGATGAGATGATATGGATGGGAGTTGCATGGATGGTAAGGTATTAGAAGGATGGATGAGAAGATATGGATGGGAGTTGTATGGATGGGTAGGTATTAGAAGGATGGATGAGAAGATATGGATGGGAGTTGCATGGATGGGCAGGTGTTAGAAGGATGGATGAGAAGATATGGATGGGAGTTGTATGGATGGGCAGGTGTTAGAAGGATGGATGAGAAGATATGGATGGGAGTTGTATGGATGGGCAGGTATTAGAAGGATGGATGAGAAGATATGGATGGGAGTTGCATGGATGGGCAGGTATTAGAAGGATGGATGAGAAGATATGGATGGGAGTTGCATGGATGGGCAGGTATTAGAAGGATGGATGAGAAGATATGGATGGGAGCTGCACGGATGGGCAGGTATTAGAAGGATGGATGAGAAGATATGGATGGGAGTTGCATGGATGGGCAGGTATTAGAAGGATGGATGAGAAGATATGGATGGGAGTTGCATGGATGGGCAGGTGTTAGAAGGATGGATGAGAAGATATGGATGGGAATTGCATGGATGGGCAGGTATTAGAAGGATGGATGAGAAGATATGGATGGGAGTTGCACGGATGGGCAGGTGTTAGAAGGATGGATGAGAAGATATTGATGGGAGTTGTATAGATGGGCAGGTGTTAGAAGGATGGATGAGAAGATATTGATGGGAGTTGCATGGATGGGCAGGTGTTAGAAGGATGGATGAGAAGATATTGATGGGAGTTGCATGGATGGGCAGGAGGTTACAAGGAAGGATGAGAAGATATTGATTTGTGCTAGATGGATTGATGGGTGTGTGGTTAGAAGGAAAGAAGAGATGTGGATGGGTGAGTGAGTTTAGTTTTACGCCCCACTCAGCAATATTCCAGCTATATGGCGGCGGTCTGTAAATAATCGAGTCTGGACCACACAATCCAAGGATCAATAGCATGAGCATCATTCTACGCAATTGGGATACGATGACATGTGTCAACCCAGTCAGCGAGCCTGACCACCCGATCGTGTTACTCGCCTCTTACGACAAGCATGGGTTGCTGAAGATCAATTCTAACCCGGACCTTCACGGGTCAGATGTAGATGGGAGTTAGAAGGATAGATGGGTAGGTGGTTACAAGCACGGATGTGTAGGTGTTAGGATGGATGTGAAAGTGGTTAGAAGGATGGATGGGTTGGTGTAAGAAAGAGGGGTATGTGTTAGAAGGGTGGATGAGAAGTGGATGAGAAGTGGATTGGAGTTGGATGGATGGGTTGGTGTAAGAAAGAGGGGTATGTGTTAGAAGGATGGATGAGATGTGGATGGATGTTGAATGGATGGGTTGGTGTAAGAAAGAGGGGTATGTGTTAGAAGGATGGATGAGATGTGGACGGATGTTGGAAGGAAGGATGAGAAGATATGGATGGGCATTAGAGTGAGTGACTGTGGTTTCGCACTGCTTTTGTCAATATGCCAGCCATATCATGGAAGAGGACACCAGAAATGGGCCTCAGCCATTGTACCCATGTGGAGAATCGAACCCGGTGTATTGGCATGACGAGCAAACGCTTCAACCATGAGGCCATCCTGCCAATGGGTGTTAGAAGGATGGAAGGGTTGTGATGTTGCTAATTTCATGAATGGTAAGGGAGGCATCAATACTATAAAATTACATCAATTAGTACTATTGTAAACTCTTTGAGGGGACGACTAAGAAATGGGGTATTCTTTCAACTTTTTAAAAAGGGTCAGATTCAATCAGTTGACATTGGTGTGAACCAGGAAATCGTGTAAAATTGTTTTTCAAAATCAGTTCAGCTATAGTCGGTTTTCAGTGAAAACGTACCCCTCGTAATACAAACCAATAATAGTGATTTGAAACTATGATCGAAGGTTAAACAACTTTTATTCTTAGGTGAATAAAATCCTGAGATTTAAATGTTCAATGTAAAATCATGAGGATTCGCAATCTTAATTTCATTTTATTTGATTTACTTATTTGTTTACAGTGAAATTCATCGGTATGTTTTCACTGCAAACAGACTGTCATAAGTATCACAATTACTGAAGAACAATGATAACAATACTTGGCTTCCGATAATTTTTTCCAACCTGAATAGAACAACAGGGCTCCTTAGACTCAATTTGGCAAAGGAGATTTAAAAAAGAAATATTTAAAAAAAACAAAGCACGGGTCGCATTATTAATTAATAATGATGCTGGTCAGTGAGTCAGTATTTATGAGAGATATGGGCTGACTACAGGGAGCAGTGGAGGTCAACTCACCATGTACTCGGGCTGGTGCTGAAGACTCTCATCAAGCAGCTCAACCTCCTGGTCATCCAACATCTCGTCGTGTGCGCGTGATATTTTCTCCCGCATCTTCCGCTCACGCTTCTGTGAGAAAATCATGTGATTTTTCAGAAATGTTATTTTCAGAGCAAAACATGTTCACCACATGTTCATTAAAATGTATCATGATGTAGCATTTCATGTCATTATCATTCCCTTTTTTTCCATTCTGCTGAGCTTGTTCATGATTCTTTCAATCTATCCATCCACCATCCCATAATCCATTATTTCTAACATTACATTTATCCATCCATCTGACCATGCACCCATCCACCAAACCATTTACCCATCCCCTCTGTCATAAACACCCTCATCCATTTCCTTACCTTACATTCAGCCAGCCATCTACCCCTACATCAACCCACCCTTCTTGTCATCTACCATTTGTCCATGTATCCTTGTTTCCACTCATCCAACAAACAGCCAATTTATAAATTTCCTTAAACAAAATCCACCCACCAACCATTTATTTACAAACATACACGCACACACACATAAATCCACCCATGAATTCTCCATTTATACAAGTTGTCCAAACACATCCGTCCGTCCACCCACCCATCCATCCACACACCCGTCCATCCATCCAACTACACACCCGTCCATCCATCTGACTACACACCCATCCATCCATCCAACCACACACACCATCCATTCACCCATCCAACCACACACCATCCATTCATCCATCCAACCACACACCATCCATTCACCCATCCAACCACACACACCATCCATTCAACCACACACCATCCATTCACCCATCCAACCACACACACCATCCATTCATCCATCCAACAACACACACCATCCATTCATCAATCGAACCACACACACCATCCATCCAACAACACACACCATCCATTCATCCATCCAACCACACACACCATCCATTCATCAATCGAATCCACATTCACCCATCCATCCAACACACACACCATCCATTCATCCATCCAACCACACACCATCCATCCAACCACACCACACACCATCCTTTTCAACCACACACCATCCATTCATCCACACACCATCCATTCACCCATCCAACCACACACACACACCACCCATCCACCCACACACACCATCCATTCACCCATCCAACCACACACACCATCCATTCATCCATCCAACCACACACACCATCCATTCACCCATCCAACCACACACCATCCATTCACCCATCCAACCACACACACCATCCATTCACCCATCCAACCACACACACCATCCATTCACCCATCCAACCACACACACCATCCATTCACACATCCAACCACACACCATCCATTCACCCATCCAACCACACACACCATCCATTCATCCATCCAACCACACACCATCCACACACACCATCCATTCACCCATCCAACCACACACACCATCCATTCACACATCCAACCACACACACCATCCATTCACACATCCAACCACACACATCCATCCAACCAACCACACACACACATCCATCTTATCCACACATCCATCCATCCATCCACCCACCTACCACCTACCCATCCACACACACAAACACTTCTCTGTCTGTCCATCCACCTACCCACCCATCCATTCACCTACACTCACCTTCATCCTCATGGCAAGGGCGACGAAGACAACGATGAGGAGGATGGCAAGGCCAGCGCTGATGAGGGCGCCGATAGCGTATGGAGAGACTGAAACAGCAATGCACAGATAAACTTTATATCAGTCATCTGTCACAACAGTGTTCATAACATAACATATCTCGACACTACAACTGCTAAACAAAATTTAGAAAAGTCACTGTGATCTGCAGGGATCAGTTTCAACATTGCAAAATGCAACCTTATATTTATACCAGTTTTCACCCAATGTATGGTAACATTTTGCTGTTCACAGAACACAGACGAGCTGTGAAACAGAATACTGAGGAGCTGGCTTGTAGCCATGACTGATGAGCACACTGACAATGATTGAATGACTACTACAGCTCATGTCATTGAAATCATATGAAGTAAGGCAAACTGATCTATCAAACCAAGAATAATTTGGTTTAAAATGATCATTTCCAACTCATATATAATTCAGCAGGTGCAATCTGTTTTTGTCTAGAGCAACAAGGTTATTACCTCAGTGAGTGAGTGAATAGGTGAGTGAGTGAGTGAGTATGGTTTTACGTAGCTTTTAGCAATATTCCAGCAATATCACGGGGGGACACCAGAAATATCACAGCAATACCCATGTGGGGAACAACCGGAAATGGGCTTTAACCATCAGGCTACCCCACCCATGTGAGGAGTGAGTGAGTGAGGTGAGTGAGTGAGTGAGTGAGTGAGTGAGTGAGTGAGTGAGTGAGTGAGTGAGTGAGTGAGTGAGTGAGTGAGTGAGTGAGTGAGTGAGTGAGTGAGTGAGTGAGTGAGAGAGAGTTTTATGCTGCTTTTAGCAATATTCCAGCAATATATCATGGCAGGGCACACCAGAAATGGGCATCACACATTGTTCCCATGTGAGGAATTGAACTCAGGTCTTCAGCGTGATGGGCGAATGCTTTATCCACTAGGCTACCCCACCACAGAGGTGGACCCTACTTCCACTGAGCTGAGGATGACCTGTGCTGGAATGTGTTTATGACTTGACACATGTAGCGTACCAGGTAACCAAACCATCCCTGTTTTGTTTGATTGCATGGTTCGTGGACATCTTCACATTCTACTGTCAGGCTTTGAATTTTCTTAACTTTGTTAAGCAGTTGTACAAGGATGACATAATATTTGGTTTTATGGATGAGAACTTCTTTATTCTTATCCACAAAAATTAACGTTTTCAAATTCTTCTGAATCTTAAATGCCTATTTAAGACTTGACTTGAGCCATAATAGAAACAATGACAAAAGCAATTTGATTAAGTTAAATATGATAGAAAATAAGCAAAACTTGGTTCACCAAATGTTTACATGACTACAACTCTCTGCATGCTTGAATTATTTGTGGGTGTTGAGTTGTGTGAGCTAAACATCTAACACAAAACAGGGAAAAGCTAAATACGACAAAGCTTTCACGAAACAGAGGAAGGATAGACAGGTACACAATGTTCATTTACTGTGAACTGATCTGTCAAGTTAAACTGTCAAAACTTGTAGTCTAATCCATACAAATATGATAATAAACTTTAACATAAATGAAGCATAATATACATATTGTGCAGACAGATATTTTAATTAAGGAGGGTAACGACCCTTTAAAGCAACCCAAGAACACGCTACTAATTACTAGGACTGACTGACTGAGTTTAGTTTTACGTCGCTTTTAGCAATATTCCAGCAATATCACAGCGGGGGACACCAGAAATGGGCCTCACACATTGTGCCCATGTGGGGAATCGAACCCGGGTCTTCGGCGTGACGAGCAAACGCTTTAACCACTAGGCTACCCCAGCGCCCCCACTCTCTACTAATTACTAGGAAGAATAGTTATATATGTTAATAATAAAGCTTAAGACTTTATAGAGAATTCTTCTTGTTTACTGTTTTTGATGTGACCCGTGAAGATCCAGAGTAGAAAAGGTCTTCAGCAACCCATGCATGCCACAAACGGCGACTATGCTTGTCGTAAGAGGCGACTAACAGGATCGGGTGGTCAGGCTTGCTGACTTGGTTGACACATGTCATTGGTTCCCAGTTGCGCAGATCGATGCTCATGCTGTTGATCACTGGATTGTCTGGTCCAGACTCGATTATTTACAGACCGCCGCCATATAGCTTGAATATTGCTGAGTGCGGCGTAAAACTAAACTCACTCACTCACTGTTCTTGATGTGCATTTTTGATCTTACATATAGGATTTGCATCTGTATGATTGTAAAATGTAACATACACTCAGATATATATCTAGATTAAGTAACACTTGTGGTATACAGAAAATACTATATGTAATTTACTAAAAGATACTTATTGTAGTACACCAGTAATTTGACCTTACGTTCATGTTTTAAAGGTTTTTTACTTCAGTATCCACTATGAGGATAATCCATCATATCCCTGATAATACATCCCTGAACCCTCAACAAGTATTCATTCAGACTTAATGCCGCTATTACATCAAGACAAAAAATAGAATTAAGGGAAAAATTATTTGACGCTTAATTCAAAGGAACACATCTTGAAAATATTTTTTCAGTAATACTTCAATTAAATTTGAAAATCATTTAAGAAAAATGTAATTTTGGTGTTTATTTCTATTTACTGGTATTATCAAAGATAACAAGCAATGAAAAGATACAGGCACTGACTCGAAAACAAAAATATCAAATCAGTCTCACGTTATGAGAACGCTACGTTTTCAACTTGGAATCTTCCTAATTCTCAGACTGGCCAGATAGCATTCCAACACTGGCCAAACATTGGCAGTGGTTGACAATGGCTGACAATGGTTGTAAATACAACGTCGGCTAGCATATCCAAATTATATTCAAGGAACCCTACTTCAAACAGACAGCTTCCCACAGAAGGCACTGTGTTTTGTGTTAATCTCATCAAGCAGACGAATCATCAAAATATTTTAATTGTGATTGGAAACACAAACATTAAATAATCATTTGTTTTGGACTATTCCACATAATGATAAAACAAACTTCTTGAAATACATGCACCCTTATAATGATAAAATATCACTGAGAACTAGAGCACAGAAACTCTGGTTTGATAAGGGAGATAATTACAAATTATAGTGAGTTATCTCCCTTTGATCATGGTGTCTCCAAGCTCTTTCCCACAATGTCCCTTTCATGAAGCTGAGACTCGATTGGTTCTGCTACACTTAATCTCAGAATCAGTTGTTCAAAAAGTAATTCTAAGTTTTTGAAATGTACATCCATCCAGTGACAGTGTGTGGTCTGTGCATAGAGCTCAGGTCACATTGAATCAGTTGCATCAGTCAGTGGCAGTTTAAATTGACTCCTGAGAGTTTCTCGGACTTCAGTCCTGCCGCACAATGAAGCACATGTGATTGCTCAAAATTGCCTCTGATCACCCAGAAGAAAATGGGTACCCGGTGGGATAAGGCATGCGAGCATTAACCTTCTAGAGCCTCACATGCAGCTTAAAATAATCAGATTGTGCGCTTTGAGTATCTTTCTGGTTGGAAAAAGCATTAATTATTATTATCATTACTTAAAACTGACCATATTTTTCAAGATTTAGGGCTGTCTTTTTCAACATCATCGGATGATTTATGCTCAGTGTGACCAAAGATATTTTCAAGCAAGTGATATTTTTCGTGAAACTCGGGTTTGTGTGGTTAGTTTTCTGTACCTAAAAATGTACTGGTTGAGCTAGTTATGTTTCTGATTATATTGCTGCTTTACAGCTGTACATGCAGGAGCTGTTAGTGGCATAGTTAAAGTTTCAAAAAATATGACTTTACTACAGAAGTCAATGGAAAAATAGTTGTTTTTCTGAAACCTGTACTAATGCTGCCACACCGAATCACGATAGTTGCCTCTTACGACAAGCATGGGTTACTGAAGGTACATTATAACCCTGACTACCCTTGAAGGTCCGGGTTAGAATGAACCTTAAGCAACCCATGCTTGTTGTAAGAGGCAACTAACGGGATCGGGTGGTCAGGTTCGCTGACTTGGTTGACACATCATCGGTTCCCAATTGCGCAGATCGATGCTCATGATGTTGATCCCTGGATTGTCTGGTCCAGACTCGATTATTTACAGACCGCCACCATATAGTTGGAATATTGCTGAGTGCGGCGTAAAACTAAACTCACTCACTCACAAAAAGACTATTCATGAAATTCAGTTCACAATTGACTGATAGATTTACGAATGACAAACCCTCCCCCCTCTGACAACCTATTTTCTTAGTTGGTCCATGTGAATATTTTTTCCATTCTGAACATTTCTTATCTGAGTTGGGTCCGATCACTAATCACACTTATATCTGTTATGATTTCATCACTTACATTACTGATCACACTTCACAAACCATGACAGAAGCAATGACTTTTAGTAAGGTAAGCTAAAACAGAGACCATATACCGATATATAGTATATGGTCTCTGGCTAAAATTCTAAGCTTCTTAAGCAGCAGCTGGAATAGCCACCTGTTATTGCATGAAGAACTCCATAGAGGCAGATTCAGATCACTTCACAGGTGGGGATATAAAAAAAAAGCTCACATATAACAGTGAAACAAGGTCACATGATTTACTGACTGACTGAGTTTAGTTTTACGCCGCTTTTAACAATATTCCAGCAATATCACGGCGGGGAACACCAGAAATGGGCTCCACACATTGTGCCCATGTGGGGAATCGAAACCGGGTCTTCGGCGTGAGGGGCGGTGGGGTAGCCTAATGGTTAAAGCGTTGGCTCTTCATGCCGAAGACCTGGGTTCGAATCCCCACATGGGCACAATGTGTGAAGCCCATTTCTGGTGTCCCCCGCCGTGATGTTGCTGAAATATTGCTGAAAGCGGCATTAAACCAAACTCAGTCAGTCAGTCAATCAGTCAGTCTTTGGCGTGAAGAGCCAACGCTTTAACCACTGGGCTACCCCACCGCCCCATCACATGATTTAAGTCAGGGGAGCTAAAAAAATCAATGACAAAAAAAAACAAAACAGCACAACACCAAGGCATGCTCTGACTAACCAACCCAAGGCAAAATTGGTTGTAAGGCCAGACCTTTTCTCTCTTGGTTTACAAAGATGTTTTGAAAAGAATTATTGCTGAAGAGCAGCACAAAAGTTCAAAAGGGAACAATTTCACGTGTTTCAATGTGACCAGCAGTTTTGCTCAACTGCATCAGCAAATCAGTGAACAACATTGCTCGTGTTCATAAATGAATGTTTTTAACTAAGGCCTAAAAAAAAAATGTTGTGGTTCCGATTACCCGACCGACACCTTGACATCTGGTGCTGACCCTTTTTTTTAAAGTTGACTGAATAAAATAAGCTTTCAGATACCATTGTTTTGACCCGGCACCGACAGATATCAGTCATTCTGATAGAGAAAGTCGATATGATGGCTGCAAGCTTGATTGCATAAACAATTACACATTGATACATGTGTTATTAGTTTGTACTTTCCTTCTAAAAATAATATGTAAAAAAATAATTCCTACCTACCTACCCTAAATTTTAAAGAGGTGTAATCGGAGCCACAAGTGTTTTTTGAGGGCCTAATATGCATCAGCAGAACAAAAGAGTGCTTTTCCGATCATTGGGGGTTTGATAATCTGTAAACCAATTTTAAAAAGTGTCGCCCAACAAACGTGTGGAGGAACAAAACAAGAACAGAAATTCAACAGAATGAAAGCCGACTTACAAATAGAGCGAAACCTGTGTGAGTGGCGAGGGAAGCCCTCCCGCTCTATGTAAGTCACATTAGCTGCAAGAAGGAGGTGCGCAGAAGCATTAGACAACAGAAGTAATCAGAAGGAATTAACAGAAGTCATAAACATACAACCCTGTGTCTCAGCCAAAGTTTCAGACGAATTGACACTCGGATTACAACAGGTAATACTTCTTGTGCATCACACAGCCTTAATTCATTTCTGGGCGTAATGTAGATATTTGTCACATTATTTCATAAAAAAAACATACAGCACTGTGTCCAACCAAAATTTCAGACGAATTGACACTCAAATTACAACAGTCAATATTTAGGAAAAGCACACAACCTTAAATTCATTTCATGAGGTAACGTAGATATTTGTCACAATATCGTGTGAAGGAACATACATTTTATCTGTGTCCAAACCAAATTTCAGATGAATTTACACTCAGAGTAATAGATGCAATATTTCTTGTGCAACACATGGCCACATCTTATTTCTTGGCACAAAGTAAATATTTGTTACAATACCGCATACAAGAACATACTACCCTGTGTCCCAGCTAAAATTTCAACGAAATGACACTCGGAATATCACACGCAATATTTGTTGTGCAACACATGACCATATCACATTTCTAACGGGAACGTAGACATTCGTTACTACAACAACCCATTGCGGCCATTTGTATTTAAGGTAATGAAGAAGTGTTGTGTACTGACCAGGTATAGATTGTATAGTATATGACCGTAGATAAGCCAAATTTTGAGGGCCCAAAATGGCAGTCTGAAGAAGGGGGTCTATGTGGTCTGAGTTGGTCATGTGTACAACCTCATCACGGCTCTCGGCTGGCTACGTGTTGGATACTGGTGCTTGCACTTCTAGGCAGGTCGGCTTATGTACGGAACATACCCGGTACCATTTTGATTGAGATTTTGAGGGTCAAGTTCGGACCTCATCTTATCTATGAAGTCAGCTTAAAATTCTACGGCAATATACGGTAGGTCTCTGTATGGCAAGTCAGGTCAACACTTACAGACCCAATCAATTGATGACAAACCCTTGAGGATTACCGTATTTTCCTTAAAAATGTAGTGGACTCATATCAAATGCAACAAGTCAAATTATTTTTCATAATGCTCTTCAGGCCATTTTGACAATACCGGATGTTAAAATCTAATGAAAAAGTACAGTTAAATGAAACTTGGCAATTAAAGGGAGAAGAATCTACCAAAACCTTGCATCATGATATAATATAGAAGTTGTCATCCATATAGTATCTTGCCGTTACTACTACTCACCTACTTTCTAAAACGCCAATCAAACAATTCTTACGAAATAATTGTTTAATAATTTTACAAATTATTTCTTCATGTTTTACAAAATATAAACATTATTACTCAGTATGAAAGGTAAATTATTATGATGACCACTTTAATTAATCAACATAGAACAAAATTTAAAATAACAAAACACTGAAGGTATTTTCTAAATACTCATCTAAAATACCAATTTTCTAAAACTGGTACTATGGTTACAAGGGAAAATCATAATATAACATAATTTTAAGAAACAACACAGTGCACAACTGTGAATAGTTTACAGAAACACATGCATTCAATTAAATTCATGACATGCATTCTTATAAACATATCTGACAGACAATTATAAAAATGGTACGGTGCCTGTCATTCAGTCTGTCACGCAACATGCAAACGATCGATACATAAGATGTTGTTTCTGATGTAGGTACTCTTTCCTTTGTGAATAAGATATTACTTTTAAATAACTGAATGAACACATTTATAAATTTATGCTTATAACATGCCACTATGTCCAAATGTTAAAAATATTAAAAAATTTGCTCCTGCTTTCAGTCTCTGGTTTGGTGAGTGAGTGAGTGAATTTTGTCTTATGCCTCTTTCAGCAACATTCAAGCAAATGGTGTGTGACGTGTGAACATGCAGTAATATAGACAAGAAAGAATAAGAACTTATTAAGTTCCACACCTCAGTAATTTAGGAAATTTAGGATGTTTTGTCCCACATTGTCTTGAAATTTATGTAGAGTAAAACTTTCAGAAATTTTAAAAGTTAAATATATGTTGTTTTGAATGAGATCTAAATTTTTTGTATTTGAACAACTGAATAAGAAGAATAAATGTGTAATGTAATATGTAATATAAATGTAATAGTTTTACATTAATAATGTGTCTTGAGGGTAATAGTTTTACATAAATAATGTGTCTTGAGGGTAATAGTTTTACATTAATGTGTCCTGAGGGTAATAGTTTTACATTAATAATGTGTCTTGAGGGCAATAGTCTCTCAAGCACATGTCTTTAGGGTAATAGTTTCATATCCATGATGTGTTTTAAGGAAGACAGCCATTCATCCTTGATGTGTCATTAAGATAATAGTTTTACATTAAAAGATCTTGGCCAATAGTATTTCATTCATAATATGTAGATAGATATTTTTTATATCAATAATGTGTCTTTAGGGCAACAGTTCCACTAGCATTTGTCTTATGGGACAGTTCATAATTCATGGCTAAGGGAATGATGACGTTTATGGAGAAGCATGTACAATGTGAATGAACCCCCTAAGATTTATGTTAGTCACCCCCCACCCCACATGTTAGGTACAATCAATGACATTTCCCTCCCCCCCCTTTTCATCCTTTCCATAAGTTTCAAGCACATTTTTTTAGTATTTCTATGTACAAAACTGCTGACAAACCCCCCCCCCCCCCCCCCCACACACACCATCACCCCACCCCACCCCTACATGCTCCCACTCCTAAGCCATATATTATGAACGGCCCCTAAGGGTAAAAGTCTCACCTCCCTAATGTGTCTTAAAGGCAATTCTCTAACATACAGAATGTTAGTTAATGATGTATAAGAATTTTGTTTTACTTTACTTCTATTCAAATTGTTTCAGAATAGGTCTTCAGCTATCCAGTTAAAGATCAACATTACTTCTGAACACAAAGACACATGCAAAGACGAAAATGCAGCTCAAACAAATATAATCAAACAAACTCAGTTAAATAATAACTTTCAAAATACATAATCCTGGATAAAAATATTTCACTTAAAAGAGATCTTTATTAAAAACATGACAGTACAAAAAAAGTTTTGATGATAACATCCAAAACTGATCTCTTTCAGGATAATGTTCCAAGGTTTATTTCTATCCAACCTTTGATTCAATGCCCATAAAAAGAGCAAAAAAGCTTTTAATAAATCTCTAATATTGCTTAACAGTGGAACACAGGGATAATTACGACGAACAGAAAGTTCAGCTGCTACTGACTGGGTTAGAAAGTTAAAAGGATTCGAGGCAAGGTGTGAAAGAGCTCAAATGGATTTTAAAATCAATCCTTGATGGATTGAAGGAAAAAAATTCCAGTGGAATTATGCCCCGGAAAAATGATTTGTCGAATAAACCCAATTTAACACTGCATAAAGCTATCTCTTACTTTGTAAAGGTGACCTGTGATCTATAATCTTTGATATCTCCCGCTCTTCATGTTTGGCGATGGTGTACGCAGCGTTTTCACCCCCTTGGGCTAGGGCAGCACTTTCTGCAATGGTTAATGTCATCAATAGCATCATCACAAAAGGCATATCATCATCATCATCATCATCATCATCATCATCATCATCATCATCATCATCATCATCATCATCATCATCATCATCATCATCATCATCATCATCACTTCCACCAATACCGCCAAACAGGTGATATGCATGCTACTTCAGTGTTCAAATAAACGACTCATTTCCTCATTTGATACACAAGCGAGTCCGGTAATTCTGCGCAGCTGCAATAGCGTACTTCCGTATCGAAGGTAAACATCGTCTGCTACCACATTTACGCTTGAAATCGGGACATTTCTACGAGGGACTGGCTTTTTATCACTAAAGGTAAGTAAATAACAGTAATTGACAGATAAATTGACAGTTTTATGAAAATTCGTTTTCTTCAGACTTTTAAACCTTTTTCTTCATTATTCATAATTGGATTTAATATGAAACAATAATCTTCCTTACATTGATGAAGTGATTTTTTAAAATAATCTGGCCCTAATACGATTCCATACTTCGGATCTCCAGCCGGATGTTATGCTCATCAGTTGCTGCCCAGATTTACAGGACAGCAAGCGATGTCGTCAGAACGCCGGTTAGGTCAACCGTATGGCACGATGCAACGTTAGAATCATATAGTCGTCAATAAAACTTATATTTCTAGGTAAATATGATGCATACCAGCATGTTTAGTCACGTAAACCACAAAAAATAAGAGACGCTAGTTGCCGTGTTGCAATCGATGTGCTTAGGTGCGTGGAATTACCGGACGGCATTGCAGACATTTGGTTAAAGCCACTTTGGACAGCATTTCAGTTATATCACAGCTTGCCAGCTTTGTGTGTGAGGACAAACATCTGGGTTTGATTGTTTGTGTGTTTTTTTGTTGTTTAATACCACACTCAGCAATATTCCAGCTATATGGCGGCAGTCTGTAAATAATCAAGTCTCGACCAGACAATCCAGTGATCAACAGCATGAGCATCGATTATACAATTGGGAACCGATGACATGTGGGTCAACCAAGACAGCGAGCCTGACCATCCGTTCCCATTAGTCACCTCTTACGACAAGCACGATAAAGACCTAGTTGCACCAGCCAAGCATGGGTTGATAAGACCATGTTTTAAGACACAGCTGATATCTGTTTTCAAGAGCTGGATCTTCACTGGTTCAAAGTTTAAAGTCACATATTTTGAACAGCATTTTTGTTATATCACCAGGTGCGTTGCACCAGTGCAAGTAGCCTAAATCGAGCCCTGGGTTGATTTGACCATTTTTAACAGGGACCTTCACGGGTTAAAAGTAAGCATTTCTGTTATATCACCGATAGGTTGCAAAGCTATAGATTTTAGATATTATTGAGGGCTTGCCCAACCTTTTTAGCAACAATCATGTGTAAGCCCGGGCCTTTTTCTATAATGGTAGCTACGCCCCTGATCACAATGGCAGCTCTATGTGTGAGGGCAGACATCATGGACACTTACCACACTGATGAAACCAAAACAGAATGGACATATTGCTGACCAAACAAGAAACATATCCAGAACAACAAAGATTCAAATCCCTTATTGTGGGAATCAGGCAGCTTAGGGATTACACAAAGAAATCGATATAATGGTCATATCGCTTCCTATAAATATTTGCAAATATCATAACTAGAGTTATCTGCCCTTGATTATGAAAATATGAACACTCAAATGGAAAAAAATAAGAAACAATTATATTATCATGATTGTCTTACCGTCTATAGTAATATTGATATCCTTGCTGTCGTTATAAGAAACGCCATCTATATCATTGACCGCTGCACATCTGTAGGTGCCCTGGTCACGTGGCTTGAAGTTGTTGATGTTGTAGAAGGAGTTGCTGGAGAGGCGGACAAATCCAGTGATGTTGTCAAGGGGGGCGAAGGACCAGGCATAAAAGGGGGACGGGTAGCCTTTGGCCACACAGTGCAGTTCGATGGATGATCCGAGCTTGTACACGCTGGTTGACACGTGGGGCAGCGACCACACCTGGGTCACCTTCACCGGCACTGCAAACAGAAATAAATCGTCAGCCTGACATCTACATGCTTTTAAGAATATTTTTTTAAAAAGCATAAGAGTGGTAGATTTCAGAGAGTAGTTTTGCCACCGCGTCAACTGTAGTAAAAAATTGGGCCCCTTTTTACAAACCTATCACAGACCAACGTTAATGTTTGGTTTGGTTGGTTGTTTTACGCCGCACTCAGCAATATTCCAGCTATATGGCGGCGGTCTGTAAGTAATCAAGTCTGGACCAGACAATCCAGTGATCAACAGCATGAGCATCGATCAATTGGGAACTGATGACATGTGTCAGCTAAGCCAGTGAGCCTGACCACCTGATCACGTTAGTCGCCTCTTACGACAAGCATGGTTTGCTGAAGATCAATTCTAACCCGGATCTTCACATGGATGTTATGATCATCTAAACATTATGATCACTATCTGATCACTATCTGGAAAGGGTCACTGGCTTTAAAAAGACTTCAACAGTTAACTACACACTGTGAATGAATATTGAATTACGCTACATCTGCAATTCAGCAATTATTCGCAGCAAGTCGCAAGCAGAGCTTCAGAATTAATTTCCTTACGACTAGTCAAGAGATTGAGTGGAAACTTTCCCTCATCCTTAAACTCCGCACCAATTGTGCTTGAACATGTCTTAAGACAAATTTTGTAGCTGAGCAAGCCGACAAGCAGGAATTCCAAAGGCTGTATGAGGTGAGATAGATTGGGAATTTCATCAGTACAGTGATTAAAGTAGCAAATCACGGTCGATAAGGTTGGCGTTTTATAGTTGATGAATGTGTTATCTGGTTATATCGGACTTAGTCTAGACCATGTAATGTATGCCTTAAGCATAACACAGTAGTCCTTTCCACGAACATCTGGTTCCTTCATAGACCTTTAGTTATCCGTTCAGTTTTTTTATATCACTATTTCGTCGTTTGAGTACAATCTGTTTTGGCTGATATCGGAGATTGTTATTTTTTTACTGTAAGATTCACATACAATAAAACCATCTTGAGGGGCATCTTCAAATTTGAGTTTGGCCATCTTTAACTTAATCGTGGTTGCTGCACATATATCCTCTGATTACAGCTGAACAATAACTGCCCAACACCCTACTGAACCACCATGACCTAATCCCAATGTCTATTTCATATACATTCTGGGACAGAAATACGACATCATTCCTCTCAGCCCCATCCCCCTAGCCCCCTGTTGTTCCAAGACACTAATTAGTACCTCTAGCCCCTCGCCTGATGAAGGAGCAGGCATACGCTCCGAAACGTCGTGTTATTCACAATAAAGAAGTTGACATCCACAAATCTTGCTTTACTTATGTATTCCACTTCTAAATGCCCTTAAAAGATCTGGCTGTTCTGTTAGCTGTACTCACACCCCTGTAACTGGATTAACTGCTACTACTGACTGACTGAGTTTGGTTTTACGCCGCTTTTAGCAATATTCCAGCAACATCACAGTGGGGGACACCAGAAATGGGCTTCACATAACTGCTACTAAGCTCGTTAGGTTAGGTGTTGGTTGTGAATAGGTGACTACCGGTACTTAGGGTGAGGTGAGGTGAGGTGAGGTGAGGTGAGGTGAGGTGAGGTGAGGTGAGGTGAGGTGAGGTGAGGTGAGGTGAGGTGAGGTGAGGTGAGGTGAGGTGAGGTGAGGTGAGGTGAGGTGAGGTGAGGTGAGGTGAGGTGAGGTGAGGTGAGGTGAGGTGAGGTGAGGTGAGGTGAGGTGAAATTGGGTTTAACGTCGTGCTTGAGAATATTTCGCTCATATGACAATGTGTATGTGCGGCTGTTTGTACTAGCCCAGACTGAAGCTGGTTTTATAGTGCTAGGTCACTGAGATACCATGCCGCAGTGAAGCATGAATACCCCACTCAGACACAGTATACTGACTCCAAGCCTACCAGTCCTTGCTGTACCCATTAATGCCGAGCGCCCCGGTACTTAGGGAGATAACAGAGAATCATGTATCACTGATCAGGTGGAAATGTGCTGGGGAGGATAAGATCATTGTTTTTGCCTCTAATGCTGACCTTCAGAGAAGCTGCAGAACTCTGACGCTTGGCATGTAGATGGAACAACAGGGAGCTAGGTGGACAGGGGCTAGAGGGGTGGAGTCAGAAATGCATGACAGTTACGTTGTGCCATTGTGAAAATATGTGTGCCCATACCTTTGGATAAAATAAACCTGTTTAATAAATCAGTAAACATCATGTAAACTGGTGTTCTTGAACACTATCATGACTAAATGTAACACATTTTAGGTACAAGTCATGTGGAAGCCAAGGTGGCTTAGTCGGTCAGGCGGCTGACTTTGTGGGCTGGCGATTGTGTGCTTGACTCTGAGGGTCTGGGTTCGAATCCTGAATGGGACTCAACCCAACAAAAGTACTAGAACTTGTACTTTACTGAGAAATTGTAATCCCAAATATAACTTGTGTTACATCTGACCACTTTCTAAATGGCATTGTGTATTCACTAGTGTTGGGAATTGGTTAAAATCTCATAATTGATGATTGGTTCATTACAACCGATCACTCATCGAAAATAATTGGTTAGCATCATTTATCAGATTTTCCTGGTTATGTTTGTTTGCACAAAACATTAAGGAAAAAACATGTAGTTCTTTGTTTTTGGGGTGGTTTTTTTGCAAATCTTTAAAGGATGACTAGTATGTTAGGAACATAAATGCTTGTAGTGCTCATGAAATGTAACAGACAAAACCAACCGTGTGAAAGACATTGTTAATGCAACAAGTGTTCCAGAATTGTTTGTTCGATTATGAGAAAACATGATTGATTGCTTGATCGACCAATCTTCGATTGCTGTAATATGTCTGAGTCTGGTCCCTCATTAAAGTCAGTGATGGTTGCTGCATGCATCCTGTGACTACAGCTGAACAATAAGTGCCCAACACCTTCGGGGGACGATTTCCCTTTGTGAACGGTGTCCTCCAAAAAGTTAGATGCCCAAAAGTTAGACGCGTTAAAACAACAAAGGTTATGGTTGGTTGCACTCAGGTTCACTACACTGTTACCTTCGTTAATTAATGGACTACTCCAAACATACTAATCCAAACACAAAGTTAAAGATAGTGTGGGCTATTGTTTCAGGAATTTGGCAAGTGATACATTTGTCGTTTGGATGAAGGTTGATTTTGTGTAGATAGTGTTGAATTTGGTAGAGTGGATAATATTTTCCTATTATTTGCCAGTTATAATTGAATGTTAACCTTACACCCTGTACTTCTGTCTATATTTTATATTGTTTATGCTGGAAAAACAATCCTAGGAAGAAAGACCCTCCTTTAGTTTAATGGAAACTCAACAACATAAAAAAACATATAATCATGTTTTGATCAAAGTCAACATCGTTAAAACGAGCATGCAAAATCTATAATAATGTTTTGATCAAAGCGAACATTGTAAAAAGAAGCATGCAAAATCTATAATCTTGTTTCGATCAAAGTGAACGTTGTGAAAACAAGTATGCAAAATCTATAATCTTGTTATGATAAAATTGAACATTATGAAAACACATTTGGAGAACCCAGTGATTGAGTAAGCCAGTCAACATTAGTATTCTGATCAAAGTATTTCTGTACAAATGTGAAAACCATCTCGTTAGTGTATGGGGCAGGTTCATTATATCAGTGGGTAAAACTAGGTTGTAATCACAGTCATGCCTGATTGATTTGTCTGACTTTTGGGACGTCTGACTTTTGGGACGTCTAACTTTTTGGAGTAAACCTTGTGAACAGAACATCCTAGTTAAACTCACCACATGCTACTGATTGATTTACAAGGTGTAGATATGACCTTTCAAACAGCACAATGGCATTTTGAAATTGAGTATCTTCCTTGACAATCTTGAAAATGTAATCCCATCAGCTAAACACTCCATGATGCTAAATACTGTTCCATTAATTTTGATTTATCAGAAGTGTAGATAGTTGTATGCAAATCACCATTGTTACATTCACATATTCACGTGTATTAAGACGTATATCTGACCTTTGAGACACATCGACATTTCAGTCAAAACTGAAAATTGTAAATGTACCAGGAGTTCAAACTGTACAGCAAAGTCTTAGAAATGTACACCAAAGTGTAAAAGCACTATTTCACATTTTTAAGTAACAGATTAAAGACATTATGTGTTGAAGCAGTTCACAAAATACTCGAATACTTGAATCAGTATACTCTTGTTTGACCTTGTACAGCCCTAAGTATATCCCAGTTGAACTTTTTGAAACTGCTCTGAGTATATTCTAGCTTGACCTTGTACTCAAAGCATCGCTAAGTGATGCACCTTGTGCTTGAAGTCACCTGAGTATATTCAAGATGCACCTTGTGCTTGAAGTCACCTGAGTATACTTAAGAAGCACCTTGTGCTTGAAGTCACCTGAGTATATAATTTGGACCTTGGGCTTGAAGTCACCTGAGTATATTCAAGAAGTACCTTGTGCTTGAAGTTGCTTGAGTATATTCAAGATGCACCTTGTGCTTGAAGTCACCTGAGTATAGTCAAGAAGAACCTGTGCTTGAAGTCGCCTGTGTATACTTAAAAAGCACCTTGTGCTTGAAGTCATCTAAGTATATTCAATTTGGACTAAGTATATCCCAGTTGGGAATTTTTGAAACTGCTCTGAGTATATTCTAGCTTGACCTTGTACTCAAAGCATCGCTAAGTATATTCAAGATGCACCTTGTGCTTGAGGTCACCTGAGTATATTCAAGATGCATCCTGTGCTTGAAGCCGCCGGAGCCGGAGTTTATATTCAAGAAGCACTTTGTGTATATTCTAGCTTGACCTTGTACTCGAAAGAAGTTGCCTGAGTATACTTAAGAAGCACCTTGTGCTTGAAGTCACCTGAGTATATTCAAGAAGCACCATGTGCTTGAAGTCAGCTGAGTATATTCAAGATGCATCTTGTGCTTGAAGTTGACTGAGTATGTTCAAGATGCAACTTGTGCTTGAAATCACCTGAGTATATTCAAGAAGCACCTGTTTTGAAATCACTTGAGTACAATATTCAATTTGGACCTTGTACTTGGAGTCCCCTGAGTATATTCCACCTTGAAGCTGTTCTTCAAGCAGCTCTAAATATACACTTCTTCCCCAAGAAGCTGCTTACCATTATTGACAAAGTCCTTGAAGGGATGGTGGCAAGTCTGAGAGTGATTCCTGGTAATTTAGTGGATCCAGACAACGACTTCCGTATTGCTCATTATGTACATGATGTAATCTAAACCCAGCAGTCTGGAGGTCAACTCAAACAGGGCTTAATGGAGGGAGGGATGGCATTGCAAACATAGTTACACCTTAATACATGCGAATATGTGAACGCAACAATTGTGATTAGCGCACAACTATCTGATAAATTAATGCAGCTTTGAACGGTATTTAACATCATGAAGTGCTACACTGAGCCAACTGACCAGGGCCTAGATTTTCGAAGCACTCTTAGCGCTAAAATAGTCGTAAGTGCCATACATTAACATTAACCTACGACTGTCTTAGCACTAAGAGTTCTTCGGAAATCTAGGCCCTCGAAAATCTAGGCCCAGGATAATACTGATGTCAGGCAGTGTATGAAATAAGGCCAGTCCGACCGCCCGAGACGGGCTAGATTTCTGACGGACGGTCTAAATTTAAAGCTAGCCAGACCGATTGTGTGGTAAACATTTTAGATAACATGTTCCATACGTCTGAGCAAATTCACCATATCTTAAAATCTATTTTTCAAATTGAGCGTTACACTTAGACTTGACAATTAGTGTTTGAACATTGTACTGTTGTATCGCAAGCTTAAAGTGAGTGAGGTTGGTTTTACGCCGCATTTAGCAATATTCCAGCAATATCACAGCGGGGGACACCACAAATGGGCTTTTGTACCCATGTGGGGAATCAAACCCGGGTCTTCGGCGTGACGCGCCAACGCTTTAACCACTAGGCTACCCCACCGCCCCATGCAAGCTTAAAGCACTGCGTTGACATATATTATTGCTAAAACAGCGACACCTATTGAAGCGCGGAGTCTGATTTCTCTGAAAATGACTATTGTGAAAAGGCTGTTGTGCAGTAAATACATGTCTCAGGTTCAGTAAATTATTTATTGTAACTAAAACTTGAATTATTTTCTTTGGATTTTCTGGTCTTGTTAAATTCAAACTGGTCTGGTAACATTATGAAGTTACCAGCCCTGATGTCTGGCTGAGTTTTGGGCTTATTTCATACACTGTGTTAGGTTAGGTTGTATACTCCCCAAGGTGGTGAGAAAGATATTCAAGTGCACATTATAAGTTGTTCACTTCCGGGTCTTGAGGGGCACATGGGCTGATGTACCCTCGATGTTCGTTTATATTCCCTGAGCATCGAGAGTACATCAGCCCATGGGCCCCAAGGAACTGGTGAACAACGTATCGGATCATAATATGGAGTACCAGACGACAAGAAAAACAAATTTAGAGTTATCTCCCTTCCATCGATTTGCATTAAAAAAACATCATACGTGATTCAATGTTATTCGAGATAAAGAATTACTGCTACAAAGTTCCAAATGAGTTCGGCATTCCCAGCGGGGTACATAGAAAATGTTACTTGCTTGTAATCCGGGTACATTGAAAATAATTAGAGAGCGCTCAGCCAATTGACATTTATGCGTGAGGCTGATAATAATCCATGATCAGTGTAATATTGGTGTTAGCACGTTGAGCAGGTTTTTTCTGCTAATAATGACTCACCATATATCTTCATGGCCGGCAGAGCTTGACACACAACATTCAACAAGTTCTGGGGGTAGGTGATGAGGCAGTTGTAGATGTGGCCATTCATGTCGCTGTTGGCCACCATCCGGAGACTGGCTCGCAAGCTGCTGGCGTTCTGCAGAGTCGTTGTGGAATTCAGATTTCTGTCGCCATGGTTCCAATAGAGGCGAGGAGCCTTGGTGCCAGCAAAGGTGACAGAGCAGTCTAGGGTAATATTGTTCTTGTACTGGGTCTCCGGGTTTTCGTTTCGACATGATGGCATGGCTGAAATGGAAAACATACTTTGTTAAATCATGATTACTTGTTACAGTACTGACAATATAATGTCCTGTTGGGTGGCCTTGTGGTTAAAGTGTTGGCTCGTCACATTGAAGACCTCTGTTCAATTCCCACATGGGTACAATGTGTGAAGCCCATTTCTGGTGTCCTCGGCTATGATATTTAGGGAATATTGCTAAAAGCAGCGTAAAACAATACTCACTCACTTACTTATTCACTTCTTATTACCCAGCCTAAGGCATGGACCGACTGAGTGAGTGAGTGAGTCAAGTTTTACGCCACATTTAGCAATATTCCAGCAATATCACTGCGGGGGACACCCAAAATAGGCTTCACACATTGTACCCATGTGGGGAAGCGAACCTGGGTCTCCTGTGTGACGAGCAAGCGCTTTGACCACTTGGCTACCCCCAATTCCCCCTTTTAGGGCTTGGTAAAACAAGGACTTGCTGGCTTTGGAGTGTGTATCTTAGTGCGATATTCATGTATAATTGTGACATAGTACATCACTGGACTTGCACTGTAACCCTGGCAACAGCACCCTAATCCCAGCTTGCACAAGCCTCTATACACACAAATGTAGGTAACAATATTTATTAACTCATCTTGAATAAAACATTAAACCCAATACTTGCTTCACATATCTCTAAAAACTACTGCAAAAATCATATTTCCAGTATTTTGTGAAACAAATGCAAACATTTTGACAATATTCATTTTTTCAATAGCTGTGGATATTCAAGAAGTACCTTGTTCTTGAAGTCGCCTGAGTATATTCAAGAAGTACCTTCATTTTCAAGACATGACAGGAAAAGATGAGAATTTACACGGACGTGACTAAGACTGAGGTATTCTTTCATGTGAGAAGCCATCGTTTCTTTTCACAATTTTCAATTTCTCAGAGTATGTATATTCATGTTGAAATGATAACAAAATGACTTACGCTAGATGCTGCTGTTTATGTTTTCTTGGTGTGTAACTCCCTGATATTTCTGGAAAATTGCTACAAGTGGAGTAAAACCTAACTCACTCACTCACTTGGTGAGTAAGCTCCATACAGGGAAGGAAATATTATGGCAGGCACTATTGTCACCAGATCCTGGTACCACCAAGGAACAAAACTCTTTCGGCAAATCACTGCACCTTCTGTCACTTGGTTCAATTTCCAATGCTTCAACCCATGCTTGTTGTAAGACTGCGACTAACAGGATCGGGTGGTCAGGCTCGCTGACTTGGTTGACACATGTCATCGGTTCCCAATAGCACAGATCGATGCTCATGTTGTTGATCAGTGGATAGTCTGGTCCAGACTTGATTATTTACAGACCACCGCCATATAGCTGGAATATTGTTGAGTGTGGCGTAAAACTAAACTCACTCACTCACTGTAAGAGGTGACTAACGGGATCGGGTGATCAGGCTCACTGATTTAGTTGACAAATGTCATCGGTTCCCAATTGCGAAGATCGATGCTCATGTTGTTGATCACTGGATTTTCTGTTGCAGACTCAATTATTTACAGACCACTACCATATAGCTGGAATATTGCTAAGAGGGGGCACAAAACTTCACTCACTCACTCTCTCCCCTGCCCCCCTACCTTCACTCACTCACTAAATCACAGATCCAGCCACTCAAACCCCAACCTCTCCCTCACTCAACCAACCATCCACTTACCCAATCACTCCGCAAAAAGATCACATCAATAAATACATTAAACAAACTTAATGCATAAATCTCAACATTCTATTTTCAAATAGCCTCTGCAATGAATAACAGTTAAAATCACCCATTATCATAAATAGCAGATAACCAGAACTGGCGATGAACTTCGACTTCTTTGATGTACACAGATCCCAATGAGAATGCACTCCATCTCCAACATCAACAGAATTGATTGCCCATCCACTGAGTGAAGCCCACAGGCAACAATAACATCTTCCATTCACAGTGGTTATCTTCAGATGGTCCACTGAAAGTACTGTGTAATAGTTGCTGATGAATAATTCTCATTTCATTCGTTCCATGAGTTGCACGCCTGCCTTCCGCCTCTCAGGATGTCTCCGTTAGCATCAGCAGTGCTGCTTTGCCTACAGAGATACTATCTGAGACTGCCTGTGGAAAGTTTCAGCAAAAGGCAGAATCACAGTGAAATGAATCACTGAATCGAGGATCAAGCAGTGTGGGAAATAGTTTCCAAATGCTGCTAGCCTGTCAGGCTAGCTATAATTGAAAGTTACTAGCCCACAAAATAATTCACTAGTCCGAAATGTGAATGTAGACATCATTAAGCTGCTAAAATGATGAATATTTTTATCAGGCCATAATATTGCATGATTTAAAAGTGTGATACAACTTAACAAGTCGGAGAGAGATATATATTTACAAAATGACACCAAGAAAATTCACTAGCCAGTCGGGCCAGTGACTGTGAAGATTTACTGTCCCGACTGGGTTTTTACTAGCCACGGGCTAGCGGGCCAGTGGCTATTTCGCACACTAGGATCAAGGGTAAGAAAAAACAAAGTATCCAATTGTAAACTTTTCTGAGACAGAGTGACAAGGAAATAATACCTGAAAGCAAGTACCATGGGTCAGAAAATCAATGTCATCCAAAACTAAACTGGTCTGACCGACTCACCGATGGACAGAAGGACAATTTGATAACTGAAAGCAAGGGTGAGTGATAAGAAAAGGACAAAGGTACCCCATGCTAATTAAACTGGTCTGACAAACAGATAGATGGATGACTGACTGACTGAGTTTAGTTTTACGCCGCTTTTAGCAATATTCCAGCAACATCACAGCGGGGAACACCAGAAATGGGCTTCACACAATAGATGGATGAACAGAAGCACAATAAAATTGCTGAAAACAAGTAGCATGGGGTCAGAAAACCAAGGGTATACACGGATAAACTGGTTTGACAGACTGAGGGACAGAAAGACAGAAAGACAATGACATAACTCAAAGTAAGGGTCAATGGTCAGAAAAGGTCATGGTTACCCAATGCAAAAATGGTTCTGATTGTTTTTCCTAGAAACGGCAATAAAAAGGTGGGAACTGTATTCTACAAACTTTGATAAAATAGAAACATTTCACTAAAAAATGCACATTACAACTCCAGATTTACAACCATAATGCATCAGGACTAAAAGAACCCTCTCATTTGTCATTTGTCCAACTCTTCCTGTTAAGGACGTTATCTTTCAAAAAATAGCAACAAAATTCGAATTTCCTTCTCAAATTACACACTGAATAATCCATCACATACAACTTTAAAAACCACAACATAAGTTTTTAACTGTCCAGCCAACAGCTAACAAGCCAAATTCAGTAACTGATCTTCAAGTGTATTTACAGCTAGTTCAAGAAAGATCCAATAAGGTAACATACACAGAAATAGATGCTGGTTCTAATTTCCTTGTCCAATTTATGTCCAGCTCATGACAGATTGACTGTCAAAACCCAACACGGGCTGCTCTACCAACAGCGTCTTGGTCTATAATGGAAGCGTCACAAGGATTTACCAGAGCCATTTTCAAACTTTAAGCTATTCCACGAGCCCCAGACAACTGAATTGTGATGAAGACCAGTAAAACATCCAGAGACGCTACTGACCTGCACCATTTGAGGACAATTATTGTGTACAAGTTCTTGGTGCTGTATGTTTCATTGACCAATTGCAACTGAACGAGTCATCTGAGGGCTGAATATCTGAACTTGTTTCAAAGTAGCTTGGGCTAGGTACAACTTCTGAGAGCTAGTGGAATACGGTTTACACTTGTCCTCTGGTACTGAGTTGATTGGATGGTCTGTTGTTTAACACCACACTCAGCAATATTCCAGCTGTATGGCAGTGGCTGGCACTAATACTCAGCTATTAGCTGGTTGAACTTTTGCAACATTAGGGCGATGTACTACCATCAAACTCAACCACTTCGTTGATGCTGTACATAAACATCAAGGATTTGGATTCCTACTGATAAGCAATAGGAAAGCAGTACTGAAATCAACAGCATGAGACCAATTCTACTGACTGACTGACTGAGTTTGGTTTTACGCTGCTTTTTGCAATATTCCAGCAACATCATGGCGGGGGACACCAGAAATAGGCTTCACACATTGTACCCATGTGGGGATTTGAACCCGGGTCTTCGGCGTGACGAGCCAACGCTTTAACCATTAGGCTACCCCACCGCCCCCTGAGACCAATTCTAACCTGGATATTCACGGGTCTCCAAATGTATGAGTTGAGTGCTGAAAAACCGAGAACAACATTGGGCAAACCGGATTTGAACCCAAACTCGTTGGTTCCAGACACGCTCAAGGGTGACAACTTCTATAGCAACAGAAGTTGTTTCAGATTTCAATATTTCGCATCCAGTAAGCTCCAGACGTCCCTCTTGAATCGCTAAGCCACCCTCAACTGGGTATTAAACACACACGAAGGATATTGGCACTCAGCCACTACGTTAGTATTCTCCTTCTTCCTCCAACGACTTGTACCGACCTCTGATCCAATTTTAAACCAAGACTACTTGAAACACATCCAAAAAACTACTATTGCCCAGAGGCGCATTTATCCGTCTGCAAGTTAAGCTTCGATCCAAGCACTCAGTCAGCGTTTTCAGTAATTAAGCGGCAATGTGGTCATTAATGCTGAGCTTCTTTGCAACTGTCTCTCGTAGGTCTTACAAAAATCTGACAGTGTCCTCGTAAATCAGGGCCGTCTACTTCCTCTTCCATGAAACCTTCTCTTCCGTTTCAATCAGACTCCCAAGGGATGACTATTGAGGGGCATTTTAACTCCCGCACTGTTTGAAAGTTTTTTTAACAATAATTTGTCCCCAGGTTTTATCCCCTTGAAATAAATTGCTTGCAGGACATGCAGAAGTCCTGAAAAAAACCAGGTGTTGGAAACAAAAAATCTGTAACTTTTTATTTTCCTCTTGTGGAACAAAACTGCGTGATTTAAAGTAGAGACTGCAAAAATATATACCAGCAACTAATATCTCGGGACCTCCCCCCAACTGCGTACTTGAATAAAGGTGAATCTTAATGCCATCTCCCTTCCTCCTGCCTGATTTCAAATATATGCTGGTCAACATTTGCTAAGCACAAACCTGTGGCTAAAAGAATGACTATTTTAGTCCTTAACAAACATTGAGTAGTTTACCCATAAGTGGGGAGACACTTCTGGGGCATCTCAAATCTAGCTAACTTTGGGCCATTTCTTGAAATTTTTCAATGGCAGCACAAAGCCCATCCATCCATCCATCCCTCAATCCATCCATCCCTCAATCCATCCATTGAAAACCACTATCGTTATCATTACAACTCGTCTGGGGCATCTTAAAGGAAGAAATCTTAGGTTGGTTTCTTGTTTAATGCTGCACTCGGCAATATTCCAGCTATATAGCGTCGGTCTGTAAATAATCGACCAAACAATCCAGCAATCAACAGCATGAGCATCGACCTACACAACTGAGATACGATGACATGTGTCAACCAAGTCAGTAAGTCTGACCACCCAATCCCGTCAGTCGCCACTTACGACAAGCATGGGCTACTGAAGATCAATCCTAACCCGGATCTTCATGGGTTTTTGGGAGGTGTGACAAAACCTAACCTCAAGAGCGCAGGCGAAAAATTCTTTTTTTTTAATTAAAAAAAGAAGTTTATCACTCATGCAGTACCATATTTTTATGAAATCATAAAATTTGGATCACTTGGTAATATTCTTTAATATTATTAATAATGTAAATTGAGTCGATTGGTTGGGAAACATTTTTCAAGAAAGATCAAACCAAGCTGTATTTGATCATAGAGGATATATACTTCCACAGAAATGGAGAAAACTGAGAAAAAAACAACCTTGTATTATTTTATGTTGGAATGAAAATTCAGGACCGGTGGGTCTCAGACGGGAAACAGAGAAAGATACAGACAGCCTAAATGAAATCATGTACTGGATCGCTGGACAAAAGTGATTCTTAAAACTGCACCAAAGTTCCAGCCATACTGTTAGGAGGCCCTAAAGAAACAAGCTTCACATATTGTAATCACATGTGGAAACAAAACCTTGATACTGCTTAAACCAGAAGCCTTTCTTCTTGAGGGGCCAAACCCTGAAGACCAAGGATGGAACTAATCTCATAAACCTCCAGTGACATCATTCTATTGTCTCACCAGGATCTCCTTTTACCAAGTAAACCTCTACAGGCAGTTTTGAGGGCATTCTCCAAGAAATCCTCAGGATTTTCTACAGAATGCCCGGGGATTTTCTGAGGAGTAGCCCTTGACTTTAATTATTTTACTTGTACAAGTTTTGAATATTGATATAAGTTTGTCTTGCTATTTCTGAATACTATTGCAAAATATCACATTGCAACCCTCTGCTTACTAGCTTGGCAGTTTTATCAACTATGCTACGATGGATCACTGTCAAGAATGAGATTGTTTGTCAGTATGAACCACGTGTTCCTCACAAGATGGGTGGAGCGTGCAGCCCACATACAGGAGACGGGTAGCAAGTGCAGGACACGCGTGCAAGTCAAGGTATCGTCTGCCAATCGAATCCCATTAGATTTCAACAGTAGATACCAAATACTAAAATTATATCTAAAGTATATCTTTGGTCGGTTCATAGTGAGTGAGTTTGATTTTACGCCGCTTTTAGCAATATTCCAGCAATATCACGGCGGGGGACACCAGAAATGAGCTTCCTACATTTTGCCCATGTGGGGAATCGAAGCCGGGTCTTCGGTGTGACGAGCGAACGCTTTAACCACTAGGCTACCCCACCGCCCGGTTGGTCCTCCTCCTCGGTTTTGATCCTTCACTTCAGCAACACGTTTGTCAAAAGAGGCAACTGAAGGGATCCGGTTGTCAGGCTTTCTTACTTACTTGGTTGATGCATATCCTTCTATGCCAGTAATTTCAATTGACGTTCATGATGTCTGTCACTGTCTATCAGTTATTTTCCAGATCATTGTCATGCAGGTTGAATACTGCTGAGTGAAACATTTAAACAACAAACAAAAGAATCTTGATTTGACGAATAGAAACAAAAAGGGTTGACCCCTGAATCTGTTCACCAGTCAAATAATGACCTTGGACACCAGACGGATGGTCGGTTGTTATTGACTGACTGACTGACTGAGTTTGGTTTTACTCCGCTTTTAGCAATATTCCAGCAACATCACGGCGGGGGATACCAGAAATGGGCTTAACACATTGTACCTATGTGGGGATTCGAACCCGGGTCTTCGGCGTGACGAGCCAACGCTTTAACCATTAGGCTACCCCACCACCCCTTGGTTGTTATTGAGAATCAACATACGTTACCATGGTAACTCACCAATTAGATATAACTGAGCAGTTTTTATGGCAGGACTTGTCACGTTGGACCAGCATCCGTAAGTCCCGGCATCATCCAAGGTCAGGTCCGAGATCTGAAGATGGACCGGCATCGTGTTGTGGTACTTCTCCGGGTGAGACGTGAGGTTGGTGTAGGTCTTGTTGTAGTGGTGTGTCCACTTCACGATGACGCTAGACTTGGTACTACCCAGAGGGGTGAACGTCCAGTTGACGATGTACGGTTTGTCGTACTGGAGATTGCTGGAGCCACCATCGCCTGGCTCCTTCACCACGTTGCAGTACATGACCACCGACTTACTGACCGTCTGGGCTGTATCTGCTGGGCCATGGAGGGTCACATTTTGACCTTGAACTTGAC